TTAAAATTATAAAGAATAATATACAATATTATTTAATTTTAATTTTGATAAAAATAAATTTGCATACCTTAAAAGCAGTTTATAGTTTTTATTTTTAATTTTTTTAATTACTAATGCTGATGGTATGTAAAATTCAACAATATTGGAAAAGGAAGATTAAATTACCCTGATACTTTATAATTCTCAAAGCTTTTTAAACAATGATTATACTCCTCAAATTATGCGAAATATGTTCATCGCAAAAGAAAATAATTATTGATTCACTGTTAAATGATTTGTAATATGAAGATTGCTTATAAAACACTGTTTAGATTTTTACAATATGTAATTGCATAATTACATAAAATGCGTAGGTAAAAAGGGGGTTTAGTGTTTAGTAAAAAGGAAGAATCAAATTATTCAAAATGAAACACTTATATAAATAAATAGTAATCTAGAAGTCATGAATATCAGAAAGAATTAAATCAAATAGGAAATTCAAATATGCAGGTGTTTATTTTGCCAATTTATCAAATAATCTCTCATGCTTCTCCTTTAGTTTTCTATACTAATAACTACTCATTCTCATGAACTCTAGGTAGTTTTATAAATTTCTAGAGAATATCTTACAATTCTTTTCTTCTTTCACTTTTCAAAGATCGAAACATTTTTAATTAATTGTCTTTGATACCACTATTGATGATTAGGAATCATATTATTTGTAAATAGGCACGATGAAATTCAATACTAAATCAGAACTATTCTTTAAGGAGAATAAACTTAAAATGAACACTTAATTATAAATTATTTTTATTAAATTTTAATTAGAAGAAAAAAATTTTATAGATAAATATTCATTTCTTTTTTATATTTGAGTTTAAGTTTAAAATTTAATTATTTAAATCTTTTGTTTTACTGAATTAGTATTTTAAATTCTTCCATCTCTAATTAACAAGCTCTTATTTCTAATATTGATTTTTCTAATTCCATTTTTTTTCGTTTAATTTGCAGTTAAATAACACATTAATCTAATTTATTTCTAATTCTAATTAAATGATTTTTTAGAAAAACTAATTATTTCTATCATTTAGCTCTTTTATCTAAATTAATAATTATTATTTCTGTTAAGTTACTTAATCTAATTATTACTCATTTTCTTTAGCCATTATTAATTTCTTCATTCTGATATAATTATGCTCAAATAATTGAAATAAATTTTTAACTTATAATTTTTCTTGTTATATTTCCATAATTTGTTGTAATTGTCCATTTTTTTATAGTGCCTCATATATATTTTAAAGCTCTTTAAATGATTACACAGACTCATTTAAAACAATAAGATATAGATCCTACATTTAACTTTTTAGTATGAATTCATGTAATTAAAAATTTAAAGCGTTTTTATTATCATCTTTTATTTAATTAACTAATAATATTTATTATAATATACCAATTTATTGATATCTATTTAAGTTTTTGTTTATTTAATATTTGCATAACAAATCTTCCTTCATTAGGTTTTCCAACCTAGTCTTTAAATTTGAATAAAACAAAAGATCTGATTAATCTTGTTTTTCTTATTTTTCTTTAATATGGTTAGTATAATCTTTAGAAATTAATAATTTGATTATCTATTATATTTTTTTTTCATCCTATAAAAATAAATTCTTATTATTGAACTTATTAGTTGAGAAGATATCGCTAGAGCTATTCTACATTTATTTATCTAATGAAATAAGTATTTCGTTAAGAGTTTAATAATTGTCTTTTAATTTCTTGATGATCTATACAGAATTATTATATTAGTTTTTTCTTTTTAAATTATATTAATTAATTAAATCTTTTTATTATTCCTTTTATAAATTCCATCTCTTGTTTGCTTCTTCTAACGTTATATATTATTTTGGAAATTCTTAAACACAAACAACACAAGCAAATCGACTTAAGTCTTAATTAACGTTTACCATCATGATCTTCTAACAATGCTTATTACACTATTGATACACATAAGGAGCTTTCTATAATAGTTTGATATAATACGTGTTAATCAAATTCTCTCAAAGAAGTCCGATTTACTTACGATTCTTCTGAGTTTTTTTTTCGATTCAATGCATTCTATTGAACCCATAATCTAGGTATATTATTAAGAATTCTATATTGAATTTAGAATTTAATGCAAAGAATCCACAAACTTGATGTCGTTTTCTAAACTAGATTATTATACAGGTATAATGTAATTAAAATTACCTTTATAATTATTTGATAGAATTTCAACATCTTCGTCTAAATTCTTTATTTCTAGCTTAAATTCCTATGAATCAACTTCTTTTTCAATCTGATTTATCTATTACTCAATATTATTTAATATTTTTGATAAAGCACTCTTCATTAATCCTTGAATTCTAATAAAGAAGACTATAATTATTTCATATTATTAAGTCTATTCTGATTCTCCTCTTTGTTAACTTTCAAGGCTTAAGTCTTCATATCTTAAATCATGTCAATAGTCTCTGTAAGCAATGCAAAGTTTTAATTATCTATTTTTTAGTATAGACACTTTGCTTATAAATACTTATCTTCCTGTTTTGTTGATGATTTTAAATCTACAACAATGATTTCTAATTTGTGAATTTAGCAATATCGTTTCTTTATTTCAGATTAGGATGACATTTTAATAGTATTATTTTATTAATTAAAAATGCAATTAATAAATCTTTTTGTATATAAAATATATAATTATTTAATAATTAAGCATTTTTTAATTACAATAGATCAAGAAAGAGAATGCTGGTTTTGAAATTGGTTGTGCTGCCTGCTATTTGTTGAACGAATTTGTAAAAAATTCGTATTTGATTAATCCAAATGAAGTGACTGATTAATTTGGGATGTATAATTCTGGACAACTTTTCATCTAGAAGATAGAAGTAAGTTTATGGATGGTCGAATGATACTAAATATGGTTTGTATTTTATTCAGTATGGTGACCTAGTTGAGTGGGGTCTAGTTGGTGTTAACCTTTTTTACTAGCGAGGGTAGTTGATGTTGTTCAAATTTAGAGAAAATTTTTTTTTTAATATTTAAAAAAAATATTTCTTGGCCGACT